AGACATAAATAAAAGTAAGATGTCATCATTTGACATGATCTCAAACATGCTGAGACCCTAATGAGGGCTTCATATGCTGACAGCCCAGGCTACTGCTGACGGCTCTTAAGAGGGGTTAGTGAGGTGCGCAGAACAGAGACCAAAGTCTAGGACAGGACCAAAAGTAGAAACAAAAGGAGGCTGGCAGATGGGCCCAACACAGAGACAGACCCAGGTCAGCCAGTTAACCGGATACTGCTCTGGAAGTGGGCTGAGGGTAAAAAAAGGTACTTGCAGCTCTGATTTGCTCAAATATTTTAGCACGTAACATTTTAAGAATAAAAGGTTTTTTTTTAAGAGGCTGGGCATGGTGGCTCACGTCTATAATCCCAGCACTTTGGGAGGCCGAGGTGGGAGGATTGCTTGAGTCTGGGAGTTCAAGACCAGTCTGGTCAACGTAAAAAGACTCTGGCTCTATTTACATATTTTTAATTTTTTTTTAAGTTGTTTTTTTTTTTTAAATAGAGACAAGGTCTCACCGTGTTGCCCAGGCTGGTCTTGAACTCCTAGGCTCAAGCAATCCTTCCGCCTCAGCCTCCCAAAGTGTCAGGATTACAGGCACGGCCCCTACCTATATTAAATCTTTTTTTAATTAAAAAATAAATAAAATTGAAAATAAAAATAAAGAATACAACAACCAATTATAAAGTAGAGGCCAGGCGCGGTGGCTCATGCCTGTAATCCCAGCACATTGGGAGGCTGTGGTGGGCAGATCATGAGGTCAGGAGTTAGAGGCTAGTCTGGCCAACATGGTGAAACACTTTCTACTAAAAATACAAAAACAAAATTAGCCGGGCATGGTGGTACGTGCCTGTAATCCCAGCTACTCAGGAGGCTGAGGCAGGAGAATCACTTAAACCCAGGAGGCAGAGGTTGCAGTGAGCCAAGATCACGCCCTGTACTCCAGTCTGGGTGACAGAGCAAGACTTTGTCTGAAAAAAAATAAAAATAAAGTATAAAACCAAATGTAAAAGAGCAGCTTTAAGAGTAAATATTTAAATATAGGCTGAGAATTAGATTCTATTAGAGAATCAGCCTGTTAATTTTGTTGGGCGTGGTTATGAAAACATTTACTTATCAGTTTGTTACACTGACGCATTTATGCCAGAAATAACACAGGTCTGAAATTTGCCTTAAAATACTCGTGTCTACTCCTCAAACCCCAAACAAACCAACAAATAAAAAAGTTAGTGGGGCAGGAAATAGATTTTTAAAAGACTGGCAAAAGGTAGACAGCTGTTGAAGCTGTGTGACCAGTCTCCTCATAGGGTTTATCATCTACTCTTCTCTCTGTTATGTATGCTTGGAAACACTATAAAACACACCTTTAAAAATAACAGTGGGGGCCAGGCACCGTGTCTCACACCTGTAATCCCAGCACTTTGGGAGGTCTAGGTGGGCAGAGTTCTTGAGGTCAGGAGTTCAAGACCAGCCTGACCAACATGGTAGAACCCTGTCTCTATCAAAATTACAAAAATTAGGCCGGGCGCAATGGCTCGAGCCTGTAATCCCAGCACTTTGGGAGGCCGAGGCGGGTGGATCACGAGGTCAAGAAATCGAGACCATCCTGATCAACACGGTGAAACCCGTCTCTACTAAAAATACAAAAAACTTAGCTGGGCATGGTGGTGTTTGCCTGTAATCCCAGCTACTCAGGAGGCTGAGGCAGGAGAATTGCCTGAACCCAGGAGGCGGAAGTTGCAGTGAGCCGAGATCGCGCCATTGCACTCCAGCCTGGGTAACAAGAGTGAAACTCCGTCTCAAAAAAAAAATAGTAAAATAAAATTACAAAAATTAGCTGGGCATGGTGGCGCATGCCTGTAATCCAGTGACTCAAGAGGCTGAGCACAAGAATTGCTTGAATCAGGAGGTAGAGGCTGCAGTGAGCCGAGATCACATCACTGCACTCCAACCTGGGCAACAGAGTAAGACGCAGTCTCAAAAAAATAAATTAATAAAAATGACAGTAACAATGGGAAAGTAGTGCTGAAGGGCAGGAGAGGAAGATGTTGAGTTCGTTCCTTTTCTGCTGTATATGAGTTTAGTCCTTGCAGCCCCCCATAAGCTCTCTGAAAACAACTACAGAATCTGGCCTCAGGGCATTTCTGATGTTTAAGTGGAAGGTGATAGATGATCTATCTAAATCCTACAGCACTTCTAATTTTATTATCTCTATTTAAACTGTGTGTTCTCAAATAAGAGCACAAATAAAGTGAAATAGCTCCAAGGCTATGAATCCTAACCTTTCATGGGTGACAAATGCTTTGAAAACCATACAGAAGTTATGGATTATCTCCCTTGAAAATACGCACACACGATATATTGGCCCTAATTCAACTTAAAGAGGACCCACCTTGCCATCTGGGATGGCAGAGGAGCGATGACAACCAGGATTGCTGAAGGGCACGCCCACTGATTTAACCATCCTGTCCCCTCCCCTCTACAAGCAGGAAGGGGCAGAGCATGCATGTGATTCCTACACTGTGCCCCCTGGAGACTCCTGGCAACAGAAACAGGCATAAAGACATAAAGCCAGCATGCCTCCACAAAAACCATCTTCAAAAGCTTCCAGCAGGAGCAGCTATGATGGCAGCAGTCCCAGTGTCCATAGCACTATGGCCACACTGCTCAGAGTACACCTCTTACCCACGGAACCACTCAAAGGACTAAACCTTCACAAGTACATGCAGTCTCAGCCAGGTGCCCTTCACCTTTCAGGCACAAGGCACTGTCATTTGGGAGCTACTGACTCCAAATCCTAACATTGCTGAAAACACTTGGTTGGTTCCACAGAAAGGTTACGTTTGAGAAAAGGAAAGCAAAAGAATAGGCATGGGTACAGAACAGTCCTTGATTCTGAAACCTCTGGGCTCAGTTTTATTCTAGTTATAATCTGCAGCTGTAGTCGTGTGTGTGTGCGTGTGTGTGTGTGTAAGTGAAATCTGCCACAGTCTGCAACCACCGTCTTCAGTAACATCCATGACATCAAAAGCAGGGGCCAGTTTTACAGAGCACTTCTTTTGGGCAATTTGTTTACAGATTAGGGAACTAAACTACAAATTTCTTACAGAAAATCAGGTCTCACCTTGCCCAGGAAGCAATGCTGCTCCTAGGCTGTCATGGAAACAGGAAAAGACTGGGCTAGATCCCCACCAATGCTGGGCAACAGGCTGGGCAAAAGTGGCATTCCTGAAAAAATGGGACCTGGTGGCTCAGCATCACATTTTTTTTTTTTAATTTTAAAAAACATTTCTGGCTGGAGGGCACTTTGGGAGGTCAAGGTGGGCGAATCATCTGAGTTCAGGAGTTGAAGACCAACCTGACCAACATAGAGAAACCCCATCTCTCCTAAAAAAAAAAATAAATAACAAAATTAGCCAGGCGTGGTGGCGCATGCCTATAATCCCAGCTACTCAGGAAATGGAGGCAGCAGAATCACTTGAACCCGGGAGGTGGAGGTTGCAGTGAGCCAAGACTGAGCCATTGCACTCCAGCCTGGCTGGAGCAAAACTCCCTCTCAAAAAAAAAAAAAAATTCCCTTTTTAAAAAAAATAAATTTAGAGACAGGGTCTCCCTCTGTTGCCCAGGATGGAGCACAGTGGCATGATCACAGCTCACTGTAACCTCGAATTCCTGGGCTTCAGTGATCCTCCTACCTCAGCCTGTGGAGCAGCTGGAACTATAGACATGTGCCACCACAACTGGTTAAATTTTAAAAAAACAATTCCTAAGTGTCACTAATACTTAAAGGGAAAGCTTGTTTACAGGAGCCCAGTGGAAACAGACTACCTTTTGGTAATAAGCACCCAAGATTCAAGATTAGGAACAAAGCCAAATTCATAGTGAGGAAAAGCAATGTTGGCTGGGAACTGCCTTCGAGCTGAATGCCTTGCTCATGCCATCTCCTTTCAATTTCCCAACCACCTACAGATGAGGCACAGGAGCTTAGAAACACTGGGACCCACTTTTTTATTACTATACTATAAACTACACTGCCTTCCCAATTCCTTCAGGAGGCTGGCTGCTGTCCTTGAAAATCAAGGAATGGTTATCAAACCTATGAATATTCAGTGGCCCAAAATAGGATAAAGAAATTCTTTCACAAGGCATGACTTGGCCGGGCACGGTGGCTCATGCCTGTAATCCCAGCACTTCAGGAGGACAAGATGGGTGGATTATTTGAGGCCAGGGGTTTTCAAGACCAGCCTGGCCAATAAGGTAAAATCCCATCTCTACTAAAACTACAAAAATTAGTCAGGCGTGGTGACATGCACCTGTAGCCCCAGCTATTCAGGAGGCTGAGGCATGAGAATTGCTTGAACCCAGGAGGCAGAGGTTGCAATGATTTGAGATCCTGCCTCTGCACTCCAGTCTGGGTGACAGAAGGACTCTGTCTCAAACAAAACTAAACAAACGAACAAAACCAAGGCATGACTTACATCAGCAATCAGGTGGAGGAAAGTTTAGAAAATGCCCTCATATGTAATACAGAGAAGTTAGAAACAAACAGGGAAAAAAATAGGAACATAATGATCTAACAGGCCATTCATACAGAAATTACATGACGTGACTTTAAGGCATGTTACATATGAAATATCCTCTCTGGACAGTTGGATGGAGGAGCTTCCTGAGGTCCTGCTCTTCTCCACACATGCTCTTTCTTTCTTCTTTCTTCAGAGGATTCATCCTGAAGCAGCCTTTGGGGAGATGCTGGAGAGTCACACACATGATTTCTCACATCCTTGTAGGGTTAAGCGTGGTGTCTACTGCTGAACGCCAATCCAGGGACCATGGCTTCTGCTGGGGCCATGCTGAATCCGATGCAGATGTGGTGGTTGGTGCAGCGCTCCAGCTGCCTGCCTGCCTGCTGACTCCTCAGGACGCACACACTTACCTGGTGACCAGTCAGGAACAGGCCAGCACACCAAGATGAGGCAGACCCACGGCCCTGGGAGCCTTACCTTATGTACACTTTTGGGGTTTTCCAGCCAAGCACAGTACATCTCCTCCACATAGTTTGAACTAGTCCCACTGAGAAAGGGCTCAGCAGCAACCGGTGCAGAATAGCACCGAATCTGTTGAAATGTCCTAGCTGCTGCTGGTCTGTTTTGTGAAAATGTCTTAACAGTCTGGGAGGCCGTCAATGGCCTCAGCTTAGTAGCACAAGTCCTTAAATGAAACATTTTTGTCCTGAAGTTTTTCACAACTGCCTGTGTAAAAAAACACAAGAAAGAAAGGTTTTAAAAAAGAGCATTTAGGAGATAAGGCTACTAGATCCTGATACCCTAGAGAAAGTATAATTTTTTTAAAAAGCTACTGAGAAAAAACAAAAACAAAACAAAACAAAACGTGTTCAACTCTAATTGCTGAGGAAAGACCCTGGCCTGTAAATGCATTCCCAACAGTGCTACCTGCTCAGTGCCGCCAGTTCATGTGCCTGGGAGCACAGCAGAGTCGTGACTGCGTGAAACTGACATACACTCTTGGACCTACTAACGAAGGATACCTGTGCTAGCCCAGGGAACGTTCGTGCAGTTAGATACTACCATCTTCACCTAAAAATTAAAATCTGCCGAAGCGGGTGGATCACGAGGTCAAGGGATCAAGACCATTCTGGCCAACACGGTGAAACCTCATCTCTACTAAAAATACAAAAATTAGCTGGGCCATGGGTGGCCCACATGTGTAGTCCCAGCTACTCAGGAGGCTGTGGCAGGAGAATCGCTTGAACCCGGAAGGCAGAGGTTGCAGTGAACTGAGATTGTGCCACTGCACTCCGGCCTGGCGACAGAGCAAGACTCTGGCTTAAAATAAAATAAAATAAAATAAATCTAGTTTAAGAGCTAAGACAATGATAAACAAGTAATGTTCTTTAAATGTAAGTATTTTATATATAAAACAATTAGAAAAAAGGCAACAAGGATTAATTAATTTAGAATTATGATTAGGATTAATTGCAGAATAAGAAAAACATTTTCTTTTTCTTTTTTTTTTTTTTAGACGGAGTTTCGCTCTTGTTACCCAGACTGCAGTGCAATGACACGATCTCGGCTCACCGCAACCTCTGCCTCCTGGGTTCAGGCAATTCTCCTGCCTCAGTCTCCTGAGCAGCTGGGATTACAGGCACGCACCACTGTGCCCAGCTAATTATTGTATTTTTAGTAGAGACGGGGTTTCACCTTGTTGACCAGAATGGTCTCGATATCTTGACCTCGTGAACCACCTGCCTCGGCCTCCCAAAGTGCTGGGATTATAAGCGTGAAGAAATACATTTTCTAACCCATCCAGAAACTGAGTACCTGCTATACTTGAGATATTATGGAAAACACAAAGAAATTAGAAAAATAATTTCCTTACTCTCAATTTACCCTTGAGCAGAGGAAAAACAATATTAAAAATATTGCAGAGAGGCCGGGCGCGGTGGCTCAAGCCTGAAATCCCAGCACTTTGGGAGGCCGAGGCGGGTGGATCACGAGATCAAGAGATCGAGACCATCCTGGTCAACATGGTGAAACCCCGTCTCTACTAAACATACAAAAAATTAGCTGGGCATGGTGGCACGTGCCTGTAATCCCAGCTACTCAGGAGGCTGGGGCAGGAGAATTGCTTGAACCCGGGAGGCGGAGGTTGCGGTGAGCCGAGATTGCGCCATTGCACTCCAGCCTGGGTAACAAAAGCGAAACTCCGTCTCAAAAAAAAAAAAAAATAATTGCAGAGGAAACACTGAATACTTGAGAGGTGCAGAATATGCCAGCAGACCCTCTGAGAGGACTGGCTCCTTCCAGGTGGGTGTGTCTCAGGGCAGAAGAACATGGATGGGAAGGAGGGAAGAGGAGGCACTACATGTGGAAGAACCCATAGGAGGAAACACAGAGACGGGAAGGGCCAGAATCTCACAGTACTAGGAAGAATAAGAAGAAGCCACAGAGGGGCCTTGTACAGTGTCCTGCCCGCCACCTCCTGCACTCAGCCCCCTTTCATAAGCCATGGGGAGCCAGATGTGAGCAAAGGAGACATGGGTGGGCTCCGCAAAGATTGAAAAGAGCACACAGAACAGCTGTTGAATAATGCCTGCCTACCCTGGACCCTTCATGGTGAGTAACTCCACACATCTGACTCATGTATAAACCCACAGGCTCCCTATAAAGCAGGCACCAGCTCTTTCACTTCACAGATAGCTTCAGTTTCCATTCCCTTACATGTTATCCAAGGTCACAGGCTACTAGCAGCAGAGTCAGGATCCAAGGGGAAAGTTCCACAAGGACACTGCCTGTGGGAAAAAAAAGGTGCTTGCTGGCCTATATGGTTGCTCATGAATTTGTCTCAAAGCAGGTGCCCTGCTTGTAAAATTGGTACTATACCCCATGTCCACACCTACTCAAAGGAAATCCAAGCTCTAAAACATAGTGTGAATTACCCAGAAACAAATGTTACATAAAAATATCTTCTATATTATTTACTGGAACTTCTTCTTGGTCCAAATATGCTCAGAATACACCTAAGGGACACATTCACCTCTGGCCTGCTCCACTGAGAAGAGATAGGTCAGCAAGAGGAAACAGCAGAACAGGTTCTTTAAAAACAAACTGAACAACAAACAAAAATCTGCTGCTTACAAATGCAAGGCAAACAAGCAATATATTCTGGATGTAGTTAGGGACGCAATCTTTATCTCTGGGTTTTCTTTTACTTCAGAAATCAGAAGTTTTAAGTTAATTCAGTCGTTCTTCCTACCTCCAACTACAATCCAAGTTTTTCTACCGATATATTTAAGGCAGGCAAAGAGCCCCAACAATGAGAGCAAAAATACTACTTTTGCTTTGTTTTATGCTACTTTTAAAAAAAAATTCTCAGGCTGAAAGGAAAATGTTCATTTTTTCCCTTTAATGTCATTATTTAAGCAGCATTAAATACCCTATTGCCTCTGAGTTGGCTTTTCTTCCAGAAAACTATTACATCACCTCATTAATTATCAGTATTCAGTTGCTGCAACAGCCCAATTAACAGGCACTGAACTGACAACCGTAAAATATCAATTTCATCTGTTCTTCCCAAAGTGGCCCCTTCAATATGACCCTGCTGAAGTAAGTCACGACATTTTGCTATATGCAGTCACTGAATCTGACAAATAGTTAAGTGCTGCTCAGCAGAGCTGCCAGGACAGCTAGAGACTTTTTTTTTTTTTTGAGATGGAGTTATCACTCTGTTGCCCAGGCTGGAGGGCGGTGGTTTGATTTCGGCTCACTGCAACCCCCGCCTCCCAGGTTCAAGCAATTCCCCTGCCTCAGCCTCCTGAGTAGCTGGGATTACAGGCACGCGCCACCACACCCAGCTAATTTTTACATTTTTAGTAGAGATAGGGTTTCACTATGTTGGCCAGGCTGGTTTCAAACTCCTGACCTCGTGATCTGCCCACCTCAGCCTCCCAAAGTGCTGGGATTACAGGCGTGAGCCACCATGCCCTGCCCGGCTGAGATTTTTAAACTTCCCTTAAGATGACTCATGGGAAGAGCTGCCCTTCAGCAGATGGCTCAACATCCCCAACTCCACCCAGCTGTTTGCTGTCCACACTCTGACAGACCCACAGAGCCAACACTAACGCACATTTCCAATTCTGGTAAATACCCGTTCTTCACCTTTCTCTCTTATATAAAAATCACATAAGAAGATACTAAAGGCTAAGCACAGTGGCTCATGCCTGTAATGCCAGCACTTTGGGGTGCCAAGGCTTAAGGATTGCCTGAGGCCAGGAATTTGAGACCAGGCTGGGCAATACAGTGAAACGCCATCTCCACAAAAAATTTACAAGCTATCAGGGTGTGGTGGCACATATTTGTAGTTCCAGCTACCTAGGATGCTGAGGTGGGAGTATCGCCTGAGCCCACGAGGCCAAGGTTTAGGGAGCTATGATCGTGCCACTTCACTCCAGCCTGGGTGACAGAGCGAGTCCCTACCTCCGAAAAAACAAAAAACAAACAATATATTAAATACAAAAAGAAGGAAAACTGCCAGCCAGTCAACATTAGATCTTCAAATCAACCTAGAATTCTGTAACTGATACGAAATCAACTTTAAGAATAGTATGTTATTTGACTGAGACAGACAATTGTTTAAACACTTTGTGAAAGCTCTGGGTTGTTTGAAATATCCAAGTGTTTTGATTTTTGGTTTAAAACAGGGATGTCCAATCTTTTGGCTTCCCTGGGCCACACTGGAAGAATTGTCTTGGGCCACACATAAAATACACTAACACTAATGACAGCTGATGAGCTTTAAAAAAGAAAAAATTGCGTCTGGGCGCAGTGGCTCATGCCTGTAATCCCAGCACTTTGGGAGGCCAAGGCGGGTGGATCACCTGAGGTTGGGAGTTCGAGACCAGCCTGACCAACATGGAGAAACCTCGTCTCTACTAAAAATACAAAATTAGCCGGGTGTGGTGGCGTATACCTATAATCCCAGCTACTTGGGAGGCTGAGGCAGAATCACTGGAACCCGGGAGACAGAGGTTGCAGTGAGCTGAGATCGTGCCATTGTACTCCAGCCTGAGCAACAAGAGCAAAACTCCATTTCAAAAAAAAAACAAAACAAACTTTTGTGCTTCAAAGAACTTATTAAGAAAGAAATGATATAGATGGGAGAAAATATTTGCAATTATCTGATAATTTTTTATATATTCAAACTGAATATATAAAGAACTCTTATAACTCAACAGTAAAAAGACAATCCAATCAAAAAAACAGGCAAAGGATTTGAATAATTTCTCCAAAGATAATATATAAATAGCCAATAAACACATAAAGTTACCATATGACTCAGCAATTCCACTCCTAGAGGTATAATCAAGAGAGCTGGGTGAGTTAGCTCTCGCCTGTAATCCCAGCACTTTGGGAGACCCAGATGGGTGGATCAGGAGGTCAGGAGATCAAGACCATCCTGGCTAACACGGTGAAACTTGTCTCTACTAAAAAAATTTTTTAAATTAGCCAGGTGTGCTGGCATGCTCCTGTAGTCCCAACTACTCAGTAGGCTGAGGCAGGAGAATCACTTGAACCCAGGAATTGAAGGTTGTGGTGAGCTGAGATTACGCCACTGCACTCCTTGCACTCCAGCCTGGGCAAAAGAGCAAGACTCCGTCTCAAAAAAAAGAAAGAAAAAGAAATAATATAAATGGGAGAAAATATCTGTAATTATCTGATAAGGAACTTAAATA